GTCTCTTGTCTTTTCTTAACTATATAGATTTTGAATAGTTTGAACAAACGAACCCCAGTGTACTAGGAGTTAATGAGGGGCTTAGGTTGCTCCTTGAGAGAATCTATAGGCCTGTGGTCTATCTGAGAAGGTTACTTAGACCCAAGGGTAAATGGCATCATACAGATTTCATTCACAACTTGATCTGATGGTGCTAAGGAAGGTGGCTTCACCAGAGGATGAGGATGAGAAATAGCAACAATCACATTTTAAAAAAACTTTCTAAAATAGCTTGTTTCTGAAAAATATGTGGCCTATATAGAATGGTGTAGTATGAGGCTAGGGTTTTCAAAAGCACTTTGGAGCAGACAGCCCTTTGAAAATTAAAGGGACTTGTGCCCCTAAATGATTTAGGGGCTTTTGAAAATCCCATCCTAAAGGCTTTTTTCGGCACCTATTTAGGGTGGTGATAAATCACACCAGACTCTCCTGTGTGATAAGTAAATAGATAAAAGGCAGGTCTTCACTACCGCTTAAGTCCATGTAACTTACGTCACTCAGGGGTGTGAAAAAGGCATCGGTGCAGCTGTGCCAATGTAACACTTCTAGTGTAGTCTAGCCCAAAGAGTGATGCACAGAGTACTGGCACATACACTATGTAAAACACTTGGAGATCTACCTGCATGAGGGAATGTAATAGAAATGTAAGGTGTTATTAATGATAAGGAATGGAATTATTTGAGTAATTATAGAAATGATACTTACTTTCCAATGATTCTTAATGGCTCTAGAGACTTTAAGATGGTTACATACTAACAGATATTTTCAGCTAAATAAACTTAGTTCATATTCAGAGAGAAAAGATACTTTTCCTGCTGTGGTTTGCCAAGTTCCTCCTTTCCCCCCACACGGTAAGATTGTTCGGAGTCTTCAGTGCTCATGTGCTGCCTGCAGGGACTTGCACTTTCACTATACAGTGATGTATAGATGCAGATATTTAAATTCTTTCTATGCTTTCATCTTAACATTGCAGCATTGGGCCAGTTTTCGTGACTGATGTTTGGCCCCTGCTTTGATTCTGTGCATCTGGCTGACAGATGCAGAACAGAGCAAAGTCGTCCTGCAGTATTTTTTACAAGCTGGTTTAATGGATTTCCCAAGGAAGGTGGTCTTCTTGGGAGGGAAAAAATCTCTCTTAATAGCTTTTTTTTTCTTTTTTTCTGAGAGCTGAAAAGCCTGCCACAAGTGAGTTTCCATAATCACTTGGGAATTTTATCCCATTGGTAAACTTAAATGCTGGAATTCGTTAGAAAGAGGAAGAAGCAGGTGAGAATTCTGGAAACTGTCCTTCCCTTTCATGGGAAGGGGAAAGATTTGAAAATGGTCAGCTCTCTTTTTTAAAGAGCAATAAAAATCGATCCATGAGCTCCTTAGACTCTGCCCTGTGTTCCCAAACACAATTTCCAATGTGGAAAAGCCAAGATACATTAAAGGGTCCATTTTACCTCTTCCCTTGTTTCTTTATAACCACTAGTAGCCACTCTGTGGAAATAAGGCTCATTTAATTAGTAGTAGTGTGGATACTGAATGCATTTCCTGTGAGATTTAATTCCAACCCTCTCTTCTGACCCTTGCATCAGGCATCTAAGATAGGGGGAAGCTCAGTATATTATAGCTTCTTGCAAACCACTGTTTGTGATAAGGAACAGGGGCTGGGAGGTGGGGCCTGCTGTGTTGTGCCCTATATATGTGTGACCACTTGTTTTTTTTAATATGGGGAGAGATTGGAATAAGAGCGGCGAAATCAGGGTTTTTGGAAGCAGACCTGATTGGGGTCAGGTGGATAGGAGAAGGTTTTAAGCAACTATCCTGAAATTCAGGTGAATGTTAAAGATCAACTTCCAACCAAGATTGTGTGTTGAGGGGAACAAAAGGCCGGGTACTTTGGTGCCTAAAGATGCAGATAGGTGCCTAGTGTGATTTTCAAAATACCTAGGCACCTAACTCCCACTGGGAGAGAAAGGTAACATAAAAACAGCCCAGCAAAAGTGGAGCTCATGTACAAAGCAGGCCGTACTCCGCTCTCATTTCCACTGGTGTAAACCCAGAAGAACGCCAATGTCTGCAATGGAGTTAATGTGGGTTTACACTGGTGGAAGAGAATGCAAAGTTTGGGCCAGTTTGTTTTGTATAGATGGCAGTGATGGATGGGCTGCATTGAGATGCAAGGAATGAATTCCATGGAGAGTTTCTGCACTCGACACAAATTGTCAGAATGGAGCTTGTTGTATGTTAATTTAAACCTTCTTCCACTGCTCATCGATTTTTTTGGTAATGTTATAATTTCTTTTTAAGAATAGATGGATGTGAAACGTTTTGAATCTCAATTTATAATCTTATTCTTATATAATAGAGCGATACAATTGAGAGACGGGGGCAGGGACTCTAAATTAGCTTTGTGTTCTCTAGAAGGCTGTTTATACTTACAGGACTAATATATATAATGTATATGTGCACATACCTAATAGGGCTGTCAAATGATTTTAAAAAAATCTCAATTAATCTCAAGATTAAAAAAAAGTTGCAATTAATTGCAGTTTTAATCACACTGTTAAATAATAATAGAATACCAATTTATTGGTTATAAATATTTTCGGATTTTTTTTCTACATTTTCAAATATATTGATTGCAATTACAACACAGAATACAAAGTGTACAGTGCTCACTTTATATTATTATTTTTATTACAAATATTTGCACTGTAAAAATGATAAACAAAAGAAATAGTATTTTTCAGTTCGTGTTTAGAGTCTACAAGTCAAAGCATGAAGGGGCATATGAATATTTAGCATTTATGGCACATAAATACCTTGCAACTCCGGCTACAACCATGCCACGTGAACACCTATTCTCATTTTCAGGTGACATTATCTCCCGTAAAGGTAAACAAACTTGTTTGTCTTAGCAATTGCCTGAACAAGAAGCAGGATTGAGTGGATTTACAGCCTCTAAAGTTTTATATTGTTTTGTTTTTGAGTGCAGTTATGTAAAAACAAATCTATATTTGTAAATTTCACTTTTCCAACAAAGAGATTGCACTATAGTACTTGTATGTGGTGAATAGAAAAATATTATTTCTTTTGTTTATCTTTTTATTGTGCAAATATTTGTAATCAAAAGTAATAATATAAAGTGAGCACTGTACACTTTGTATTCTGTGTTGTAATTGAAATCAATATATCTGAAAATGTAGAAAAAAATCCAAAAATATTTATAATACATTTAAATTGGTATTCTATTATTGTTTAACAGTGCGATTAAAACTGCAATTAATCGTGATTATTTTTTAATCTAGTTAATTTGTTTTGCATTAATCATATGCATTAACTGCGATTAATTGCCAACCCTAATACCTATATTCTTGTACACACACGCACACACACACACATGCCTATATGCGTGCACATATACATATGGTACTCATGTTGGTAGGTCCAACTGTGAACAGAGATTTTTATATGTTAGTTGTTGGTTGTGTTGGTTCTCCAGTATAGTCTCCTTCTTCAAAAATTGTTGTTCTTCAAGACCACCTATCCTTCCAGTTGAGGAGAGTTGAAAGCAGCTGCCTCTAGAGCTGGTCAACACTCTGGGTCAGTTGAGCGTGGGAGGAATCGCTCAAAAGCCACATGAAATGCTTTCTGCTATGAGGGACAGTTTTTGTCACTGCTCCTGTATTAACATTCTCTGCTGTTGAGAAGTTCCATTGCTGAGCTGTTCATGTGTTTGGTCTACATGACCTTTCAGGTCAGAGCCACTGGTTTTGGCCCAGTGCATTTGTATGTTTTGATTGTTGTTAACTACGGACAGTTTTTGCAGAGGCCTTTGCTGGTGAGCGTAAGGGGAGGTGATTCTGTATGGGTCACCTTGCTGGCAGGTGGAAGGGCAAGTTGGTCCCATAGGTTGGACTTCACCTGATTACATTAGGGCTGTTGATCCCAAAATTGGGAATCTCGTCAGCAGGCAGGATGGCTGGCGATCCCATAAGGAGATCTCACTGGTGAGCAGAACAGCAGGCGATCCCATAGGAGAGCTCACTGATGGTTAAAAAGGTCTGTTATCCCATATGGGAACCCCAAAAATGCCAGATTGAAGTGACACTGATCCTGTGTAGACTTTATCAATGGGCAGAAAAGTTATTGCTTCCACAGGGCAACCTAATTGGTGGGCAATGGCTGGGTGATCCCATAAGAAGAGCTGTTCTGGTGAACAGAAGAGTTGATGTTTCCATAGAGAGGAGCTCTCCAATGGGCAGAAGGGCCTGTGGTCCCCTAGGCCTAGGGGAAGTTCCTCAGAGAGCAGAAGAGATCAGTGATTTCAGATGCAAATCTCACTGGAGAGCCAAGGGGATGGCATCATGGTGAAGTTAGAAATGGTGGCTCAGCATCAAATAACCAGTCACCATAGACCTGAGCTTTGGTTTCACTGGGATGGTCCTGTAATTTAAGAAAATAGTGCATCTGGGGCACTGCAGATTTGACCTTTTTTGGGGCCTGGTAGAATTTTCTGCTCTTGTGAGTTACACAGATAGTGGTTTTCCATATCTCTGGGGTTTATTACCTCTGGCACAGCAAGTGGAACTATGCAGAGAGTAATTCTCACCACCAGTACTGGGCTTATGATAATGGCTTTTGCTGTGATCTCTTTAGTGTACACTGTCAGGAAGCAATATCTGTCCATGCGCAAATACTCATGACCCCGAAATGGGTGGCATTGCACAGCTCCACTCACAGAGCACCTCTGGGGTCACAAGGTCCTCTCTGCATGAACATAATTTCTTAGAGGCTGGGAGAATTGAAAGGTTTGTCATGTAGTGAGAGGGTAAGGAAGAGCCATGTGCTTTTCCTATTGAAAGCCTCCCTGCTGCTCCTCACCTCATGCCTGTGCATGCGGTGGCTGTGTTCAGTGGATGTTCCTTGCCCAGGGTTTCTGAGGGCCATCTCTCCCTGTTGTGTTCACTCAGGTCTCGGTCGATCAGCGGAGCTTCATCTGGTCTCTCCACCAGCCCCCTCAGCAGTCCAAGGGTAAGTGGCATTACTTCAGGATCTGTGGGTACCATTCCCTCAGACAAGCTCAGTGCTTTTTGGCTTCTATGCCTGTAGAGCTGTGGTTATTTGTGGAGTGTTTTATTTTTCCTTGGTTGGTTGTAAATTTGCTTGAATTGGGGAGATATTGATTAGAAATTAATGTGCAGCATCTCTTACCCTACATGTTTCCTGTGCTACCCGAGATGTCTCTCTATGGCCCTGTCCATCGTCAGCCTCATAACCACCTTTAGGACCAAACACGGCTAGGACACATAACACCCCGTTGGGTTGTCTATAGCACACCTTCAGCTAATACGGCTGCTTGTAACAAAGTCACAGTGAAGCACCATACCATGTCACTTTGGTTCTGCTTAGTACAGAACTGTGCTTGACTGACATGGGTCTAGCTAGAATGGGGATGTTACTGAATATGGTAGTAAGCACCCTCGTTTGGTGCTGTAGTGAGGACAGGGCTTCGGGGGGGGGGGGAATTATATGGATTTGAAGAGAAATAAGAAATTGGCACATCACGAGACTGGGGTCTCTGAGGAAACAGCGTACTCATTTCTGTCTCCTGTCAACGAGCCAAACCCTGAGGTCTTTACTAAGTATTTAGCCAGTCCCTACTGAGGCAAAGGTCCCTTTCATTTCAGTGGCAGCTCACCTACCTAAGGATTGAGTACAACATCAGGGAATCATTCCCCACGATCAATGCACAGACTGTCCCCTCCTCACATGGGTCTTCTCTTTTTGTATCTGGGGTAGGGAGGAAAGCAGTGGAAGTCAGCTCCCTCTATGACACCATCACCACCAGCCTGGGAGCCAGCTTGGGCCTGGAGATCTATGCATGCATAGTGGAAAAGGGATGTGGGATGGCTGGGGGGACTCACATCCTACCCCAGCCCCCTGCAATATACAGTAAACCTCCCACATAGCTATTACAGTCAGAGGGTGCACGTACTAGTGCACAGAGGCCTCACTGTGGTGGGCAGCCTCTCTTGGGGTGGGGATGAGGATTTCCAGGCACAGCATCTGGCAAGGAAAGCTTTGTCAATGCAGCCCCACACCTCGAGCTGCAGCAGAGTGCTAGGTCCTCACTGAAAAGCTCATGGGGCTATGTCAACGTCTGTCCCAGAATGTTTCAGGGAACCTCACAGCTCTTCCTAAGCCCCATTCCCAGCAGCTGTTTCCATGAGATGGTGAGTGCACTCCCACCTGTGTAAGTACCTCAGGACATGTGGAGATGACTCCAAGAAGCATTTCAGATTGCTATTTCCCCTAAACAGTCAGGTGTAATTCATATTCTTAAAGGGACATTGTCAAGTACAGGTTTCTAGCTTTGCAGACTTTCCAACCTCTCCATTGTTTCAACTATTTTCTTAAAAGCATCTAATTTCCAAAACCTTTTCCCATCAATTTTTCTCCTGTTTTGTAACTGGCAGACATTTGATTTTGTTCCCCCACCCTCCCATGTCTTTAACACACCAGGAACCAACAAGGTTCCATTTCAGAAGGTTCCTATTCTGTGCACTGGCCTCGCTGATGTCAGCAGGACTGGCCAGAATTCTGAGAATAATATTAACAACTGCTGCAGAATAAGTGGAGAAACGCACAAAAATAGCATCCAGTTCTGCAAACCCTAGTCATGTGAGTAATCCTGTCTCATAGGAGCAATTGCATTGATGTCAGTGGGACTACTTGGGTGAGTAAGAACTCCTCACATGAATAAGGGTTGCAGGTCTGGTCCACAGTGACTATTCTTTAAAATGATGACTTGGGAGCAATTGATTAAATGTTTTTTAAAAGCTATTTAGCAGCCAGGTGGCATTCTCAGAAGACCATAACCATTTTAAGGTGGTCAGATTTTGGTCTTGAAGGGACACTGTTGGGTTAAAAATCATATAGTTTAAAAAAAGTGTCCTTACTTATGCACCTTAGGTTATGGAAAGGGAAACTATTTTCAAAATCAAATGTTTTTCACTATTTACACTGCTTGGGCACAATACTGCACCGTGCCGAATTCAATGGCAGTTGAAAGTGCTTGAATCTCCCAAGATTAGGACCTTGGTTTACTTTGTTGCACCTCTCTGAACTGTAGCAATGAGAAGACACCAGTCAACTTAGTGGACCAAATTAGGCTCTTGGTTAAACTGGTGTAAATCTATTGAAGTTAATGGTATTACTCCAGGTTTTTCAGTGGTTTAACAGGATGCAGAATGGCTTTATTTCTTGTAAGTTTGATTCTCGTGCTGTCATACACTGATTACATGAGCTGTAAAAATTGCAGGGGAATGCTTGTAATTATTACTTTTAAACCTGTTTCCATTGGAATTAATTATAAACGGAGAATGATCTCTTCCTGGTAGTGACCAGCATGAATTAGCCACATTATTCATCTCTTTGACCTTCCATTCCTAATGGTGATTTGGAATTCACCAAAAGAGACAAGCTGTCTTAATTTTAAAGCGTTTTACAAAACCTAATATTAATAGAAATATTTTAATGTATTGGTTTTCCTTTAATTTTCAGAGTCTTATCCAATGTCCATTGAAGTCAAACCTCCCCTTGAATTCAGAGGGCTTTGAATCAGACCCTCAATGCAAGCAGTTTTATCTGTTTGGCTTTAAACATTCCCCTGCATTTTTAAATGTCGCAGCCTGGTGCTAGTACTTGAGAACCAGTCTGGTTTCCTTTCTATGATTTGGGGTTGCAATTGCTTTTACATCATATGTATGTACAGTGCCTAGCACAATGGGGCTGGATTAGAGCCTTTAGAGGCTACAGCAGTCTAAATAATGAATATAATAAAATATATTTGTTATGGCCACAAATGAGCAAGCTGAGTGCAGGGCCAAGAATAAACTAAGAGCATAAATGGTGCTTGTAATCTAGGATGTTATTACTAGGGCTGTCGATTAAGCACAGTTAACTCGTGATTAACTCAAAAAAATTAATCGCAATTAAAAAAATTAATTGAGATTAATCACAGTTTTAATTGCACTGTTAAACAATAGAATACCAATTGATTGTTTTTGGTTGTTTTTCTACATTTTCAAATATATTGATTTCAATTACAACACAAAATACTAAGTGTACAGTGCTCACTTTATATTATTGTTTTATTACAAATATTTGCACTGTAAAAATGATAAACAAAAGAAAAAAGTATTTTTCAATTCACGTCATACAAGTACTGTAGTGCGATCTTTTCATCATGAAATTGCAACTTACAAATGTAGATTATTTTTTTTTGTTACATAACTTCACTCAAAAATAAAACAATGTAAAACTTTAGAGCCTACAAGTCCACGCAGTCCTACTTCTCGTTCAGCCAATCGCTAAAAGAAACAAGTTTGTTTACATTTACAGGAGATAATGCTGCCTGCTTCTTATTTACAATGTCACTTGACAGTGAGAACAGGCATTCGCATGGCACTTTTGTAGCTGGCATTGCAAGGTATTTATGTGCCAGATACGCTAAACATTCGTATGCCCCTTCATGCTTCGGCCACCATTCCAGAGGCCATGCTTCCATGCTGATGACACTTGTTAAAAAAATAATCCGTTAATTAAATTTGTGACTGAACTCCTTGGGGGAGAATTGTATGTCTCCTGCTCTGTTTTACCCGCATTCTGACATATATTTCATGTTATAGCAGTCTCAGCTGATGACCTAGCACATGTTGTTCATTTTAAGAACACTTTCACTGCAGATTTGACAAAACGCAAAGAAGGTACCAATGTGAGATTTCTAAAGATAGCTACAGCACTTGCCCCAAGGTTTAAGAATCTGAAGTGCCTTCCAAAATCTGAGATGGACAAGGTGTGGAGGATGCTTTCAGAAGTCTTAAAAGAGCAACACTCTGAAGCAGAAATTACAAAAACCGAACCACCAAAAAAGAAAATCAACCTTCAGCTGGTGGCATCTGACTCAGATGATGAAAATGAATATGCGTCAATCCATACTGCTTTGGATCATTATCGAGCAAAACCCATCATCAGCATGGAAGCATGTCCTCTGGAAAAGTGGTGGAAGCATGAAGGGACATATGACTCTTTAGTGCATCTGGCACGTAAATATCTTGCAATGCCAACTACAACAGTGCCATGCAAACGCCTGTTCTCACTTTCAGGTAACATTGTAAACAAGAAGCGGGCAGCATTATCTCCTGCTAATGTAAACAAACTTGTTTGTCTCAGCGATCAGCTGAACAAGAAGTAGGACTGAGTGGACTTGTAGGCTCTAAACTTTTAGATTGTTTTATTTTTGAATGCAGTTATTTTTTTTTTACATAATTCTACATTTGTAAGTTCAACTTTCATGATAAAGAGATTGCACTACAGTACTTGTATGAGGTGAATTGAAAAATACTATTTCTTTTGTTTTTTACAGTACAAATATTTGTAATAAAAATAAATATAAAGTGAGCACTGTGCACTTTGTATTCTGTGTTGTAATTGAAATCAATATATTTGAAAATGTAGAAAACATTGAAAAAGATTTAAATAAATGGTATTCTATTATTGTTTAACAGCGCGATTAATCGCGATTAATTTTTTTAATCACACAATTAATTGTGATTAATATTTTTAATCGCTTGACAGCCTTAGTTATTACCAATATGTAGGGTAATTCATTTTGTTTTTAAAATGTGGTTTTTATCCTGCCAATATCCCTTTAAAAGGATTTTACTCCCTGAATGTGTGTATTATACGGTTAACTGAACTCATCTGAACTGAACTTTCCCAGGCAGCCCCTGTAACTAACGCATGAAGGTTTTTTCTTTTAACAACAACAAAAAAAGTCCTATCCCCTTGTTCTTCTCTCTCAATGGTGCATTATGAGTAGTTGTTTTTTCCCTTAATCTACATAATCACTTCCATCATCCAGAGAATGTGACACTGGGACTTTGTAACAAATATTGAGCAGTGAATTTCTGAACAGCAGAATCAGGGTGTCATCAGACTCTGTCTTTTCAATGCTGATTGGGAAATCTCCTTCTTTCCCTGTCATGTAGCCCTGCTGGGACCCTCAGGGATTCTCTGTATAGCGATCTGTTTGCAAATCAAACCCCAAACTGACCCAGGGTTCAGGGATACCCCTGGTGTTTTGTGTTCAGGAATGTCCCAGCTAATGCTGAGTGGGTGATGTCACTCTGGAAGGCCAGGGGAGGAAGGTGGATGAAATGGTACTGCTCTCCCTCTTCTCTTTCTTTCCCCCATGGGTGAATGGAGCCTATGTGTGAGTTTTGTAGAGTTAGGGGAGGAGAGGGAGTGGGGGCTCTGAATGGTGTGTGCAGTAACCGGTGTGCCTTTCCCACCACCCCACGTGCACCACACACTTATTTTGAATTGCATCTCTCTGCTGTGTTTGGTCGGGGCACTTTGAGCTGAAAAAAGCAAGCCCAGCTTAGGCGCTTGTCAGTTTCTGTGTGGCTTGAATGGCTCTTATTACCCCTTCCTCACCTCCCGTCAGCATTGTGCTTTTTTCATCGTGGGGCAATCCGAACAATGCCGGGGGGGTGGCGTCTCTCTCTTTTTTCCCCCTCAGTTATTTTGAATTTTTTTTCCCCTTCTTCCTTTGTGTTCCTTTTCTCTCTGTGGTTTTCCTTTGCTGACACATGGTTGGTTAATATGATAAAGCCTGTTATGACACTGTTGTTCTTGCTGCTGCCGCCGCCACTGCTGCTGCTGTTGATTATGCTGCGTTCCCAGCTAACTGCATGTCTTTTTGTTTTTTGTTTTTTGTTTGTTTGTTTTTTGTTCTTGTTTCTTTGCAAACCCTCCCACCCGCCCTCCCCTTCACCTCCATCTCTCGTGTCTCCTTGTGACATGATGCATCTTTGTGACTCAAATGGGTTTATTCTGACTTTCCTTTCTCTGCTCGCCCGCTGTGTGCGTGTCTCACTGTTCTCGATGTGCATGGACACTCTGTGTCTGTCTTGTAGCCTATCAGAAAGTTTTTCATACCCCCTCAGACTCCTGACCTCCCTTTCTCCCCCCGACCCCAAGTCTCCTTGGACCCTGATGCTTGTAGGAACGCCTCCAGGCCTGGACATGTTCTCCAACCAAAGCCAGCACTTCAGTCCAACCCAAAGACGCAGACTTTGCCATCCAAGAACAAATTGGCCGAAAAACCGCTCCAGTCTACCAAATCCAATCCGCTCCCTGCCACCAATGCCAACACCCCCTCTTCCCAGAATCCCCCTGTGCAGAATGCTCAAGGCCGCCCACCCACTGCCGGCTTTAGCCCCCAGCTGGCCATTCCTACCGTGCAGGCCAACCCTATGTCTCCTGTTAGATTACTCCCTTCTAGTACTGACCCAAGCACCAAATCTATCCCCATCATACAGGTCACCCCTCACCCCTCTCCAAGGGGAAGTCCCCTCCCTACCCCCAAGGGGACACCCGTCCATACGCCAAAGGAGAGCCCAGCAGGCACACCCAACCCAACGCCACCATCCAGCCCCAGCATTGGAGGAATGCCCTGGAGGACACGGCTCAACTCAATCAAGAACAGCTTCCTGGGGTCTCCTCGATTCCATCGCCGGAAATTGCAAGGTGAGTCCGTTCTCCAGATGAATGCGGATGTCCGAATTGGGGTGAGTATTCAGCAATAAACTGGCAACTCAGATTGACTCAGAAAATCTCATTTGCGGAGAAGTGACTATCAGTGTTGGTAAGAGTGAGGGAGTTAATGCAAGGCCAAGACAAGCGTGAACAGGCTCTGTGGTAACTTTCACAGCACAGCTCTGCTGCTGCACCTCAATCCTGGGCTGCAGCCTCTCTTGCTATTCCAATCCTGAATCCCCACACAGCACCACCTGCTATCCCCATCCTGCAGCCCCCTGGCAGCTCTGCCAGTGCACCTCAATCATGACCTTGCAGCATCTCCTGCTACTTCACTCCTGAGCCTACCCACCTTTAGTCTTGCTCCGCAGCACTCCTGCTATTCCAGGCCTGGCCCTTTCCCAAGCAGAGATGGTCAATTGGTGGGAATAGAATGAGATTGTCCTTCTACAGTGTAGCTTGTTTTTATAATCCTGTTTAATTATTTCTTTTCTTTTTCTCCTGAGTGTAATTGGTGTAAACTATCCCTTAATGTAATCAGTACTATCAGGTCTGTTTGGGATATTACAGTTTTTACAGACCCTGGAATTCTAAGATGGACAAAGTTATTTGCTTCAAGATTCGGGTAGCTTTTTCCTCTTTGGCAAAGGGCACCTGAAGTCACATACATAACCCCAAAGGCTGTCAGAATCAAACCAATTCCTTATGGTTTTACACTCAAGGTATTGGGGTCTGTTCTGTGGGGAAAGGAGAATATCTAACGTGCTAATGGAAGATCTAGAACAGGGGTAGGCAACCTATGGCACGTGTGCCGAAGGCGGCACGCAAGCTGATTTTCAGTGGCACTCACACTGCCTGGGTCCTGGCCACCGGTTCGGGGGACTCTGCATTTTAATTTAATTTTAAATGAAGCTTCTAAAACATTTAAAAAACCTTATTTACTTTACATACAACAATAGTTTAGTTATATATTATAGACTTATAGAAAGAGACCTTCTAAAAATGTTAAAATGTATTACTGGCACATGAAACCTTAAATTAGAGTGAATAAATGAAGACTCGGCACACCACTTCTGAAAGTTTGCCGATCCCTGGTCTAGAACATATGCCCTGATTATCAGAGACTCTGTATCTGAGATGGCCACGGAAGGACTGAGAATTGTGACGGTGATGCAGGGATCCTTCTCAGGGGAAAAGTTGATCGGCTAGTTTTATTTTTGGCTCAAGCATCACCCTATTCTGCGAACTGGAGCCCATTGGATTCTGTGCAAGGTGCGAACACAGCTGGACTGATGTAACAGCATTCCAACATCTCATTTGCACTTTGAAGAATCTGCAGGGATTCCCTGTGTATTTTCAGTGGCTATGGGGATTCTTTAGATGAAAGGCACTGTGCAAAGTATGAATGTTAACCACTGATTCTCATTTATTTATTAAATAAGAAAAAAGAGTAGAAAGTGATTCAGACACACCACAATGATATGCTCAGTCTAAGGGCCTGATCCAAAGCATGTTGAAGCCAATGGGAGACTTTCCATTGACTTCAATGGGCTTTCGGTCAGGCCCTGAAAGCATCAATATTTTAGAATAGAGTAGTCACGGTGATCTAGGAACACGGGACCAATGTTTAGACATCAGGACTGGCTTGTGGTTTTTAGGAGATGTAAGGATGGGGGGAAAACAAGGGGGTATGGTGCAAGGATTATTTCATTGATATAGAAGGAGAAAGAGGAAGGTCTATTTCTTTACCATTTCCTTTTTCTTGCTCCCTCTTTATGTGTGTGCGTGCATACAGTACCTACACCAGAGGAGATGTCCAATTTAACCCCGGAATCTTCCCCAGAGTAAGTAATTCACTATGACGCTACTTATCTCACCACTTTATGGTTTCCTTCCTGTGCTAATGGTGTGATAGGAACACAGTCCATTCCTGGTCCTGAAAGGCTCTAGCAAATGGTCTAGATATGTGAAAGGGCTCTTCCACTGGGGTCCATGGGCACAATCCAATGCCCAGTGAAGTCAATGCAAGTCAACAGGTGTGGCTGAGGCTCCTCACTTTCTTTGGAGTGCGGAGCTTACCAGCGTTGAAACACCATCCTGCTCTCTCTCTTCCTGTGTTTCTCCAGCAAATCATTCTCTGGGAGGAAGGTCTTGTAATTGGCCCTAGCAGTGCAGTCACAGGACTTCCACTTAGTATAGCAGAGTTTGTCTCCCAGGGATAGGGTGTGAAGAGTAATTCCTGGAGCAATTCGGACACATCACTGCCTGTGATAGTGAATGCAGTGTTAGTTCCCGATAGCAGCACCAGGAGCTGCAGGGGATATTTAATATTCACCATGCATGTTCCTCAAAATCAGTGCACAATTAAACAATTTCATTGCACAAATGTGCATCACGGCATGGTGTGCTTGGAAGACCCTGCCAAAGAGCAGTGCTCCAAACACTTCCTAATATGGGTAACAGATGCCAAATTAGTCCTTTTTATTTTCACAGTTTGTGTTTGTGCACCCTATGCCCATAGAATTTCCCTGCCAACCGAGGCGATTTAGCCCTCTGTGCGTGAAATATTCATGATGATTTGAGGTCCAAAGATCTCTAATTGGAGCTGGTGGCATTGCCTTAACACTTTTACTAGTGCCAGGGCATCGTATTGTGAAAGCTGGGCAATCCATTTCCAAAGCTGCACCAGCAGGGTGGGTGGGGAATGGTCGGGGGCGGGAGGGTGGCGGTACGGGGAATGAGGAGTGAAGAGAGAGGGAGAGGTCCAAGAGGAAAAATAGAACAAGTTGTGTATTTAAAGCATGGGATGTTTACTGCTAGGGGGGACTTAGGGAAACTTCATAAAGAGAACAGGTTCACACTGAAGAAATAAATGAAACACTCATGTCAAATGGTCTTAAGGGTATTAAAGCTGAAAAAGTCTGTGAGTGAAATCTTTCTTTCTTTCTTTCTCCTGCCATCTCTATTTCACACTGTCCCTTTAAGAGCCGGTGTGATAAGGTAGAGTCTGTCATTTGAGGCAGTTTGGATGCAAGTCAAGTCCTAAGGCCCTCTCTCCCTTTTCTGTATAATTGCTGAATTAATGAGTTCAATTGGGTTGCACCCTGCAGGAAACATAATAAAACTCGTAAAAAAATAATGAACTAGATTTTATTTTAACCATAGATGTCTTGTTTCTCGGTGCCCACTTCCACATATTTTGGGTTTTGTTTTTGTTTTCCCCATAAGAAAACAGACATCTTCATCAAGAACTCTATTGACCTCATGTGCTGAGTGATAAACATGTGTTTCCTTTCTCTGTTATGGCATCTTTTAATGACTCTCATTCATTCAACAATCCCCATGATTGGCTAATATACCATGACATGTCTAGGTAATGCTTGTTTTTCTCTTATGGAGAAGTCCTAGTTAATTTATTAGCAATGAACCCTAAAGGGATATATCCTCAGCTGGTGTGTTCATAGAATCATAGAATATCAGGGTTGGAAGGGACCTCAGGAGGTCATCTAGTCCAACCCCCTGCTCAAAGCAGGACCAATCCCCAGAGCCCCAATTCAGCAAGGCACTTAAGCACGCATGTAACCTTCAGCATGTGAGTAATGCCATTGGTATCAATGGAGCTAATCATATGCCTAAAGTAGTGCTTGTGCTTAAGTGTCTTGCTGAATCAGGGCCCAAATAAGGAGCTTGCCAATAGGGTTCTAGACAAATTACTGTAGAAATCTATCGCTTTTTAACAGAGAATGAGATTCTTTCTTTCTTTCTTAACCAGCAAGGATAGAATTCTCTATTAAATTTTATATGATTATTCAAAAAAAGCAATGGAAAGTTTATCAATATCTGTTACATCGTACCAGACTATTCCAAACAGGATATATATTGTTCTGTCCTCCAGTGACATCCCCTCCTTTCTCACTGTCCCCTGAAACACACCTTCCTTTCTCATCCATGGCTGCCAATAACAGCTAATTGACTTCTAGCTCTTCCTTACAAAGAGAATGTCTTTACTGCTCACCTACACATCTCCAGAAGGACCTATAGAAATTCAGAGCTATGAAATTGGGCAACATGAGGGCAGATAGAATTCAGTATAAACCAGGGTAGACTGATTAAGGCACCATAGAAGGAACAATTTGAACTGGACATACGTACTGATGGGGTTGGGTCTTGAGAGAAGTGGGTTCAATTCCCTACTCTTCCACAGATGCCCTGTGTGACCTTGGACAACTCACTTAATCCTTTTATGCTTCAGTACCTCCATCTGTACGGTGGGGATAATCATATTCTCCTCCTCCCACCCTTGGTCTGTCTTGTGTATTTAGGGCAAGATTGTGACTTAGGGCTTGTCTACACTACCCGCCGGATCGGCGGGCAGTGATCGATCCAGCGGGGGGTCGATTTATTGTGTCTAGTTTAGACGCGATAAATCGACCGCTGAGCGCTCTCCCGTCGACTCCGGTACTCCGCCAGAACGAGAAGTGCAAGCAGAGTTGACGGGGGAGCGTCAGCTGTCAACTTACCGCAGTGAAGACACCGCGGTAAGTAGCTCTAAGTATGTTGACTTCAGCTACACTATTCACGTAGCTGAAGTTGTGTATCTTAGATCAACCCTGCACGGTAGTGTAGACAAGCCCCTAGACTCAGACACTTGTGCAGGGGAGTAAGGGGAAGTAATAGCCTGTTTTGGCCACAGAGCAAGGGGGAAGCCAGGAGGGAAGTGTGCCTTTGGGAGGTGAACAGCACCATTTGTCATTTTAAATGTGCTTGGAAGGAAGGGGATAGTCCTGCTCTGGAGACTAGTAGGAGCTCTCCATGTGCCCTCTTCTGAACATATCAGAGGACGAGGCAGTAGACCACACACGTCACGCTTCTCCCAGGATTGCCAAGTCTGTGTTTCAGTTAAAAAAAGCGTTATCGCCCTCTGAAACGGTGCCCACCACGCACAGCGTCTAAACCATGGCCCCTCCCATCACCTAGAGAGGGCTTTCCGAGTACGTGAGGGCTCTGAAGACCAACTGCAGTGGGGGAACTGGGCCTCTCACCACTTGCTGGTCAAACAGCTCCTGATAGGTTTTAGAAGAAAGAAATAGTGAAAGGGTCTATAGCATGTGGGTCCATCGCAAGAGAGCTGAGAGGGAGAGTTTGGTGGGTTTGTTACTGAGAGACCAGGGAGAGAAGCGAACTATAAACAATGAGGGAAGAGGTGAAAGCCTCAGCCCTTGTTATTTAACATGAGAATGGACAAAGCACTGGAAAAAATACTGTAACCTGGAGAAATAACCCTGCAGTCAGGCTAGGGGATGGACTAGAAAATGACCCTGGGATGTTAGGTCTTTTCCATTTCAAACTTCTACTGCTCTTAAAGCAACAAAAGTACAAGGCTCAGTTTTCACATGTGGGCATCCATTTGGTTGGTTTTACTCTGCAACTGAAGATCTCAAGTGCTTCCCCAGAAGAGTCCCTCTACCCCAAGCCCCACTTTGAGAAGGAGACTGGCAGAGAGGTGAGAGGATTATTAGTCCCAATCCCTTTTGTGCTGCAGGGAGGAAGGGGAAGCTGGACTCCCAATGCCAGATTTCGGGCCTGATTCTGGGAGATGCTAAGCATCTCCTTCAAGGTGCTGAGTGCCCTTGACTCTTAGGAGCTTCAGTTGGATTTCAGACCTTAAAGTGCAGTTCTACTCTGAAAAATGCTGAAGTACAAATGGCAGCTTTTTACTTGGCAGGTCTGTTCCGTGGTTATTTGCAGAGTCAGATCTGCTGAGTTGGCAGAGAGAAGTCAGTTGTACTGTTTTCTGATCCTGTGAGCTCTGCAGAGCCAACACAGCGACGAGGGAATCAGCTGGAGTCTATTCCATCTTGTGCATCACCAACAAATTTGTTTACTGAATTCCAATCAGTTACAGGCAGGAAAGTGTCGGCGGCGTCATTGAGGTCTTAAACTTGCCTAGTGCAAAGCCTTTATTCCTGGTGATAATTCATGAGAAGGAAAGAACTCAGCTGGACCCTGAGATCTCAGGCTGAGTTTGCAGGGTTAATGGCAAAAAAAACTCGTTATTGTATCTATAAACGGAGCCCTTTTTACCTGTAGTCATTGAGAGACCAGTAAATATAGGGACACACAAGGTGATTTTTTTTTAATGATTATTTTACACAGAAGAGCCGCATTTAAATATTTACACCTTGGCCCACCCCAGAAGTGATGGATACAAGCCTAGGACAACCAGACAGTTTAAATGGATCACCAGGTGCAAACAGCTAATGAGCAAAAGGCCCTTGACATGCAGGGAGTGGTTGCCCCAGCTTTCCGGGGGGCCTACAGAGTTGTTCTGTCATTGTGAGGCACATGAGCTCATTAGTATGTAATTTCCTTTCATACTCTAACCCTAGCTTTGTAACGACCCATTTAAATGAGAGGCCCTTTCTCTTTACTGCTCTCTGTGGTAATCTTTGGCTCACTGACTTAGTTACAGCTGCCTATGAATATTTTAGGGAGTTATGGTTTTCCAACCCACTTTTACTGAGGAGGGCGATTTACCAAACTGCAAGTGAATCCTTTTGCACTCTGCTTTTGGTCACCTGGGGTAGATGGAAACAGAAGCTGATTAACACTGAGCTGTCTTCCAGTTCTGATCTTTCCTCTGTGTGGATTAAATGGGCAATAAAATGACAGTGCTGTGATGCATGGAGCAATCCAGTAGTAAGGGCTGAGTCCAGTTGATTTCAAGACTTTGTTCTCCATCCCAGATGTCAAGACTCCAAATGAGTTTTCCAGTGTGTTCCTCTCCCTCCTTAACGCAAGTCTGGCCCCAGGGAGCCTAGATCTAGCCAGTTCTGTTTACCCAGAGAAGCAGATCTTTATTCAGATGCCTATTGCTGAGCTGTATTAATCCCGTCTCCAGATGGCTCTTTACCAGAAAGGCTTAAGGTTAGAGAAACTCTTCTCCTGTTATGTTGTGGAGCATTCTCCCAAGAGAAGTTGTGGAAGTCCATTGCTTGGCACACTGCAAACCAGACTTGACATGGTCACTATAAAATATTCTGCAGGGAATAATCCTGTATTGGCAGGAAGATGGACTCGGTGGCCTAGCAGGTCTTTTAATCTCTAACCTCTATAGACAATCCATCCCTGGTGTAACTTGACTGATTCCAATGCAGTTTCCTCTGTGATTAATTTGACCCAACAATTCTATGGTTGTGTCACATGACTGAAGCAATCTTCCCCCTCCACCACATTTTCTATAGGGTCCACCTACTACTCTCAAGCCCTGGCTAACCTCCCATTGATATAAATGACCCTGCATTTCTGCTGTAGTCCTTTTACTTTACTAGTGAATGTTGATGAAGCGGTGCTAGTGAAACCTCCTGAGTGGAAATACACATTTGATGATGCTGTCAGTATGAAAATAACAAAGTAATTTCATTTATGGTGGAATCAGCATTCAGTGCTTGAGGAAACAGCAGGTATTGGCCACTGCCTGTTAAAACCAAGAATGGTGGTTTGTGTACTTTGATATCTCCCCCTTGATACTTGGTAAAATTCACCCTGGGCAGAAGGCCAGCACAAGGGCCATGCATTCCTTAGATTCCCTAAGTGAGATTTAAGTAATATATAAGCCTTGTGTTTAATGATATAATAAGATACAATGGGCGGGCCACGTAGCACGGTTCACGGACAATAGGTGGACGGCAATCATTACTGAGTGGTACCCGCGAGAACAGAAAAGACCACCTGGTCGGCCTCCAAGAAGATGGGAAGATGACATTGTTAAACGTTTCGGACGAACGTGGAGAAGAAAGGCAAGAATGCGAGAAGAATGGCGGATGTGTTGTGATCGGTGCAGTCTTAACGACAGCTGAAGACCGATCGATCCAGGTGATAGGCCTTGTGCTAGCCCTCTGCACAGGGTTGAATTTCACCTACTGACATGGCAGCTTAGAGGGTGAGTGAGACACCCAGAGCAATGTGGGTGTAATAAATATTGTGACCCCAGGAGGAGATTTTCAGGTCAGGAGCTTCACAACTTCTAGAAAACCTCAAGTGGGCTGAAACTGACCTGGAATGACCTCCAAAATCTCCAGAGTATCAGTGTCACCAGCACCCACCATGATGCCAGAAGACACAGGAAGAGCCTTGCAGGGGATCTCTGAGATCTGTACGCAGATTTTATGTGCACTGTATAAAATGTTGTATTGATTAGTGTATTTGGTTAGAACTGCGACAGCGGCTCCTGGCTTTCCATTGCTGATCACACTGTGCTGCTGTAGTAAAACCACATGGTCCACAGTCTAGTGTCTGATTGAGTTACATCACATCACCCATTGTAGCAGCATCACAGTGTGATGACAGCCCATCATCCTTGTGTCGTATGCATGTTTGTCCAAATGCCAGGTGTCTAAGAAATGCTTTTTCTGTTCTAAATCTACTCCTTCTTTCTTTTTTCTTCATGTCAGGCTTGCCAAAAAATCCTGGTTTGGTAACTTTATCAACCTGGAGAAAGAAGAACAGATCTTTGTGGTCATTAAAGATAAACCACTAAGCTCCATCAAGGCTGACATTGTGCACGCTTTCCTTTCGGTAAGTCAATCTGGCCCGTGCTATAGACTCATCTCACTATTCAATTCCAAGGACATCCTAAGTCCACATATTCTTGGACAGGGCCCCCACGTCCTGGAATTCCTCCCCAGTGTGTTCATTTCTGCAGCACATTCTTTGCTCATCTGTTTCCCACTTGAACCTGGCCTAATGAGGTACCAAATTTCCCAAGGGGACCTGCAAAGTGCTAAAATGAAAGTCTTCCATGGACCTGCCGATGCTTGGGGTTTAAATGCAGTCAGAGCTTAAAGTGCTGCTGCAGTGCCTAGAAAGTCAATTCCCTTAATCGACTATTCCATTAGATTTATGGCACATTATTTTTCCCTTCTCCTTCTGGGTCCCACAGTGATCCTCAGGATGCTCCCTCCATCCCTTGCACCAGGAGAGGGAAATCTGTCTCACATCAGACTTTCTAGTCTTAATTTTAAATCTCCCCTGTACTTGGCAGACATAGAAGGCTCATTTTCTCCTAGGGCTGAAATATCTGTGGTTGGAGATGCTGACTGTCTGCACCTTAAAGTCTCCACACCTGGGATTTTGGGATTAGTGGGGGAGAGGGCATCCCTTCCTCCCAGACACAGAGACCCTCTTCTCTCCCACCCATAAGTACAAATGAAGAAAATATAAATGAGAGTGAAATTGATTTGAGAGATTTTTTTGTTCTAAGGGAGTTAGGTACATTTTTTTTAATTTGAGATGGGAGTAGGGCTTAGTTTATTTTATATATTTTGCTATATGACATTGTTTTTCTGCAGAAAGGCACTAATTTTCGATCTCTATAATATACCTGCTGTAATGAATTCCATTCCATAGAGCAGTCAAGACCCCTGACCTGTTTTGCACACAGCACAGACCTGTAAGCATGGGGTATAACATAATAGTGAGCATCACCCACTGTAAATGACCACACATTTATTTAAACTATGCCTCTCCCCTACATGAAGTCCATGAATTCAGCTCCACATATGGGACTGGTATATTGGCTTTTAGTGCCCAGTAGTCACTGTGAATACCCCAGCTGCTCTCTCTCTCACAGCTAGCTTCCTAATTAAAGATAATGCAGCAACCTGCTAAATTAATCCCTAGGGCCAGATTTTCAGAAGAACACCGTTCCTAGTTAGGCACCCCGATAAGTGGCCAGCTTGCTAAGATTTATAGCATGTTGAGTGCCGAGCCTATTTGGAATTCTGGCCCTGACTGTCAATGCTGGGCACCTGAAAACCTTGCCCGGAACAGTTTTGAAACTCTGGCCCCAAGTGTGAAGATCATAGGAGTACCCTAGAGATCACTCAAAGGTCTGTTTCTTACTAATAGGAGGCGGGGGGTAGTTAGGCTCTTCACAGGTAAACAGTCCCTGTAGAGATCCCAGGTTCTGGTCCTGTTTATCTATCCAGGTCAGCTATCGAGTATCCCTTTTCCTGGGCTCTCTTTGGTATCCTGCTTTGAATTTTCTACCCCCACCTGATATCATTTCTCACTGAGCTGTGAGGATCTACTGGAACTGATGCTTGGGAGATGTCAAAGGACACACTATGCTCAGTTGTACAGCAGGGGGAGTTTCTAAGTATGTCAGGTACTTCACCAGTATGCACGCTTTAAACCTGGCTTGATCCGCAAAGTGCTATGCATTCCTGTGAGGTGCTGAGCGCCTCAACTCCCACTGATTTTACAAGAGGGCACAGCTCATTGCAAGATTGAGCCCATAGGCAGCAAAGCTTTCTCTCTCCAATGGCTGGGAAGGCCAAGCGAGAGAAAGAAAGAAAGAGAGATCTTCTTAAATAGAACTTTTGCCCTCTGACCATATCATCCCCTACTGCCACCCTGTTTCAGATTCCCAGCCTCAGTCACAGCGTCATCTCACAGACAAGTTTCCGTGCAGAGTACAAGTCCACGGGGGGTCCCGCTGTCTTCCAGAAGCCAGTGAAGTTCCAGGTGGACATAACATACACAGAAGGGGGCGAGGCACAGAAGGAGAATGGGATCTACTCAGTCACTTTCACGCTCTTATCAGGTAACCACGCAGTGGCTGCAGCCTGCGGGCAGGGTAGCATTCACCCTGCCAGTGGGGAGGCCGGAGCATGAGGGCAGACATGGGAGCAGAGAAGATGAAAGCCTAGAACTCAGGAAGAGAGGGAGAACTTGGGAGAGGAGGGTGTAGGAAAGAGGAATGACAGTTTAGACATCCTGTGGTTTGGGCGGTGATGGGCATGCTGGGAGAGAAAGGGAAGGTCAATGGGAGCAACTACCGTCGAAGCAGATGCTGTCGTGGTCAGACAGACAGGTGTGCTAGAGTCGCTGCTGCTCAATGCGTTGGACTTGAAATGCTCCAGCTGTCCTGCCTTATTGTTTCAGTATAAGGTGTGTCTCTGAGCAAGGCGCTGTGCGGCCACCCACAGGGCTTTTGCCCTTACCCAGAACATAAGCAACAGGGAAGCCACTCTGCTGTCTTAGCTGGCCGCCAGGCACACTGTGAGAGAGGCAGGCCAGTCTGGCTCAGAACTGCAGAACTAACCTGGATTCTCTTCTGGGTCCTCTCCTCCTCCTTCCACAGTCGGACCTTTGCCCCTTCCCCAAAGGCTGTGAGTAAATTCCCTCCCCAAACAGGTCCTGTATCAAAGTGAGCCATCTCGATAGTGGCTGCACAAATCCAGGCTGTGCACCAATACCAGAGCCTCCCCTCCGCTCTAGGAATGGCTCGTGTCACCTTCCCCTCCTTTTGACACACACTTGCTCCCCACAGACGGGCTGTCAAGTCTGAAGGAGGAGTCATTTCTGATTTTAAATCTTTGGGAGAAGGGGCAGGGGGACTAGACCTTCTGGAGAAGTGGGCTGTGCAAATAGGTTTAGGCTGTTGTGCACCACTAGGTTACAGATGGGCTTGGCATTGGTAGGATGGATACAATTATTGCCAGTGTCCAATCAACCCCCATTAGAATAGATTTTGAATGGATCTGGCAATAGGAACCTTTGGAGGAGGGAATTGCTGTAGTTCCCACTGAGAATCCTGATTCTGGAGGGCAGGGGAACCATCTGAGGGAGGAGATTAAAAAGAGAAAATGAACCTCACATTTAGAAAACCAGCCCCCAGGGCATTTCAGATACTAGGATGGGAAAGGAGCATCTAAGCTAGACTCTTCCATGGAGTCCTTCACGTCATAGCTCTAAAGTGGTGGTCGTTCAGTAGCTCTTCAGTCACACACCAGACACACTATCAGTCTGATAATGGGGGAGGGGTGGAGATTGAAGGGAAGATGCTTGTTCTTCCTCCCCCTGTGTTATGCCCTGTGCCTTATGGGGGTATTCGGCTCCTGCTCTCTCACCGCTGTTTGCATCTTTTCTCCCCTGCAGGTCCAAGCCGTCGCTTCAAGAGGGTAGTAGAAACCATTCAGGCACAGTTGCTAAGCACACATGACCAGCCTTCAGTGCAGCAGTTATCAGGTATGTTGTATTCACTGTTCAGTGCTTTGCTTCAGCCAGGACATGAAGGTGAAGTGCCTCTCAGTGGGGGGGGGGGCGGAGAGAAAAGATGGGGGAGCACATCCCTCTGATTGCAACTAGAAACTAGCTTCATTCAGACAGAACAATAACTCTCCCCCCCCCATCCACCCTACTCCTGCCTCCAACACTCCATCTCCAATGTCCCAAGTGACTTCCCAAAGTGAGAAGCCCTTCCCACCTCCCACCCCAAGAGCCATCTGTACCCCCTCAAAGGAAGCAGAAGTTCCAGATTTTCTGTAGCTCCCAAATAACAGATTAAAGACCCCTCTAGAATGCTGTAGAACCCCCTATATCCACTCCTGGAATAAAGCTTGGAGCTGCCTTTAGCAAGAAGTTAAGAGCAAAGGCTTTCTGAGCGTCAGAAGGTGGTTCCCAGCTATGGGTTGTGGTGTTAGACACCTGGCCCAGTTGATCTATTGGTGAAGCCTTCATAGTGTATTCAGGTTCTGCAGGATCTCAGCTTTCATTTTTTTAGAAAGCAAGCTTCTAGCCCCAATGTTTGTAAAAAAAAAAAAAAACCTTCCAAATGGGACCCTAGTGTAATTAATGCAATGTCATCTTCCGGAGTCTGCAGTCAGCCTGAAATGGTCACTCAGAGGTGCGAACGCCCTCACTCCATTAAGCAGCTTGGAGTGTTCATTCTAGAGCCTAATGATGACACTTTAAAATGTCAGCATTACCTCTCATTGCTGATCATTTTAAGAGAACGGAACAGGGAAGAATGTGAGAGTTGAATCCCCTGGGAATGTTGGGAATTGGGAGTTACTGCAGGAAAGGAAATGCAGTGGGAGAAACAGAGGAGACACAGAGAAAGGAGAATGGGAAAGGAAGACAAGGAAAAGGCAGAAAGAATGGGGAGAATGTTCCCATTTGAATGATGCTGACTCCATTAAGTACTGAGCAAGTGAAAAATGTTAGTAACTAAAAGATCCGTATAAGGGCCAAATCATCTGCTTCACCTTTGTGTAAACCTGCCATTGCCGTGAATGGGGGATTTGCTGTGGATTTAGGTGGGTATGGAGTCCTAAATTTATACTCTGGCCCATGGATTATAATTAAAAATGGACTTTGGCCCTCTTCAAGAATGGGTTTGATGCCCTTGCTCTAACAGTGTGGCAGGTGAGTGAATTAAATGTGGAGACAGTTCCAGCTGGGAGGGCTATAGAGAGAGTTTTTCACAAGACAGAAGTTGTCACTCAGTTTAGGACAGATATTTCCCACCTCTCTTCCTCCTGCCAGTATTGCCTAGCCTTTTTCCTGTAGATTTCTTCACCACCCAAGAGCCACTAAAGGAGATGGGAATGGCTGGACGTCTAGAGCTAGATTTGTTTTAGGTTAACTTACTCTCAAGGAACCAAGTGCTTTTTTATTTACTGTCCAGTCTTACGGCATTAAACCAGACACCAGAAAGAAATGAGACCTTTCCCTCACCCGACCCCTTGTGTCCTGCCCTCTCTGGTGGGGTTGGGAGAGTTGGGTGATCAGAGAAGCATCCCGTGGAGGAGATCTGGCCAGTTGAGACTAGTTCTGCCATTCCTCCTGCTGTTTGACTAAAGGTCCCCCGTCCTTACCACTAAGGGGAAGAAATCCCTTATCCTCAGCTGAGCAAACCCTATTAAAGAAATTCATGACCTCGCTAACCAGCACCATGCCCTGGCCCTCTGTGCTTCATCTACTGAGACTAGCTAGAAAGATTTAGACCCTATTTTTTCCAAGTGTTCAAAGCAGCCAGGATGTCCCCATTGGAGAGTCTTCTCAGTGACATGGAACAAAATGCATTTGTCTGCCTGAGAGGTGAGGGAAAGCGTTCAGGACAAACAATGCTATGGGAAATGGATCCAACATGCGGCTCTGTTCTCTCTCTCTCTCTCTCTCTCTCTCTCTCTCACTCACACACACACACACACACACACACACATCAAATTATAAATGCAGAATTTCTTTCCTCTATCCAAAGCTTCACCAGAGTATCTCTCCGGAGCAATGGAAACCCAGCCCGTTCCTTAACATCACCTCCATGTCACTGAGAAGGGGGGATTATGTATAGAAATCTAATGTACAACAGGAACAGAATGGGTGGGCTCTTGTAAGTAAGAATGAGAATCCCCTGCAACAGGGCAAGGGACGATTCCAGGCAACAGGACACAGGAGAGACTCCAAGTCAAACACTTGTGCAGTCAAATATTCTGTTCAACAGGATGTGTGTGCTTCTCAATAAGGAGAAAAAGGATGCCCCTTGGAAAATTTAGACTGGTGTCTAGGGCCAGGAGAGAGGGAACATGCTAGGGGAAGGAGAAAAGAGGATTGTTTCCATTAAGATGGCAGCCAGCATCTGAAAGCTGGCAAGCCATGGAGCACATTTCCCCAGCTGTACTGGAGCGGGTGAAATGCGATAAGGGGAGGGGAGACAGAGAGAGCAGTGACAGGGTCAGTGTCCATCAGCTAGTCCAAAGGAGCTCTGGTGGGGCAGAAGAATTTGTCTTGTTGGGTGGCAGCCGTGACAGTCATGAAATCACTTCGCAGAACCTACCATGGGATTAATCAACTCTCTCTGTGTGGAAAGCAAAGATAATTCTGCTTCCTTCCTCTCTTCCCAAAGCCCGCAAAGGACATGGGCAATTGTGTTCAGAATGCCTGTCCACGGGGCTTGGGGATGCTGTGGAGGCAGAGTGCTCAGCCAGAGAAGTGTTACCCAGCAGATCTGCAGGAAGCTATGCCCAGCCTTGCTCATTCAAAAGGATGGTTTGCCACAGGGTGGCATCTTAGGGAGTATCAAGGGGAGGACATGACTGAGAAGGAGGAGAGAGTGAGACAGAGCTCGCCCATCCCCCACCCCCAGGAAACAAAACAGTTACCTTCCTCTCCCATGGCTTCGAAGAAGCTTAGAGTCTAATGATTGAGGCCAGCAAGACAGGGCTGCTGGTCTCATGCTGCTGGGGTGCTGGTCACTAGAGGGTCTGCCTGAACATTGTTAACACCCCATGCTGGGTATTGTCAGCCTCTCCTGCCGCATGAATTTGTGCCCAGTGCTGCTCCTGTTACCAGGTTAATGAGATCCATTGTGTTTGGCCTCTGCAGCGCGGTGCGGTGGTTCACTTAGCTATGCCTGTCTCCCTACCAGCCCTGATCATTCCAGCAGTTTTATTGCATGTTGGATAGCACCTTATTTCACTGGTAGTCCCATTGAAAACAATGGGACTCACGGAGTATGGTGCAGCTCAGCTTGTTGCCACACACCTACCAACTATGAAGCCATGTCCCCTGACATCCAGGTCAGATGCCGTTATAGGTGGGGCCATTGGAACAAAAATGTATAAAGTGAGAGAGGTGTGGGAGAATCAGTTACAACAGCTTTATTTTAGAGCAGGATTACCCATCACTGAAAGTGTCTCCAATTCCATCAGCGTCAGTGAGGACTTGTAAGCTCATGATGCTGATGTTTATTCTCTCTCCTGACCCTCATTGATCCACTAAGTGACATGCCAGCCCACTAAACCGGCTGGCCTGGGTTTCAGAACAGGACTCACCTTTCTCTGTCTCTCATTTCCCTGAGCTCACATTAGCATTTGTAGATGTTGCAGTGTGTGTGTGTGTCTCTCTCTCTGGTATAAGTGGGTGTGTTTCTGTGTCACACCTCTGCACCCTCTGGTCTCACTCCCCAGGTAGTATCCTCCCTTCATACCCTCATTCTGCTTCTTGGGCCTCACTTTGTTTATTCCCTCTCAGCAACTCTGAAGCAAGAAAATACATCCCCCCTCCCCCAAATTAAATACATAAATGAATTAAGTCCATAGTAGAAATTAAATTAATATAGTAAAAATCCATTCAACATCAGAAACAGAGTCCAATTGGCCAATGTCAGTCCAATACACTCCCCCAGGCAGTGTAGGGAATTAATGCCTGTATATTCTAACTGCTGGGACAACAGCAACGTCAATAAATCCGTTATGCCCTGCCCTGCCCTGCCCTGGAAGGACCACTCTCTCCTGGTTTGAGAGAGAAGAATACCATCTCCCTGGGCATTCAGCCTTGATCCCACTCCACACACTGCTCCACCTGCCGTACTCAAACTTGACCTTGACAAGACCACCCTCTGCTGGAACAAAAGGATCCTCATGGGGGGAAAAATCTCAGCTCTTTGCCTTTGTCTCCATCCAGTACAATCTCTGCTAAAGTATACTACACTTTCCTCTGGTGCATTCTTACAAAGGAATAATAAATACCGATGGTAAACGGAGAACTAACAGTGATCATTTCACTGTGCATCAGTTTTTCCCTCATTAGCATTTCCTTTCCTTCCTTAGGCTTGTTCCTGGAGACGGGAGTTCTCCACATACCCTTTTGTCCCATTTTCTGGGCAAACAGCATTGCATCTCTGCAGTAGACTTGCTGCTTCTTTGTTTACTTTTTTCTACTATATATCAGTTTTTAACTCTTTGGTAACTGATGATTTCAGAGCGTCTCAGTGTGGCAGCTGAAAATTCCAGCTCCCAACATCAGAGGTAACAACCAAATAGATGCCTACACACACACACACACACACACACACACACACACACACACACACACA